GCTCTAAATTGCTGCAAAACAGTGATACCTACTATTCTCGACGATGGCGCCATTTGGCGGCAATCTGGGGGCGCCAAACTATATTGCAAAAATTAGTCATCACCGGGGATCGAACTCTGGACCATTTCTTCACCACTGTTTTGACATTTCCTGGAGGCGTTCAGGAAAAATGGATCATGGTTCTGTGTTCCTCGCATGAGCCCCCCTACACATGCAGAAAACCATTTTGAAAAAATAGCGCCCCCCTAAAAGACCACCCTTGTAAGCCACAGTTTTAGAGTGCAAGCTTGGCCGGCTTGGCCCACCAGGTGCGTCAACGTCAAATATCCTCCAAAAGGTAGTCGTGCATATTTAACCCTTTGAAGACTGCCACATTGGGTAAAATGACGTTTTCTTTCTCTCTGGATGGGACCATTGATTGATCAACTATTAATATCAACTTTTTTTGAAAATTTCATAGGAGGTCGCGAGACTTCACTTTTTTCTTGTGATCTTTGTCACACATTTCGACTCTCCTTTCCACACATATTTTGTGAGTAGCCAGTCAAGTTTTAGGTGGCGAAAGAGTAAGATATGGAGTCGTTTTGAATACAAGATTAGGTTGTTTTGGCACTACACAAATTAGGGGGATGTGCAGCACTGTTTAAGGGATCGAACAATCCAAATTTCGCCAACACATGCATGACTCGCTCTGCTGTAAAGCATTCAATCCAAGCAATGGGCCAAGCATGTGGTAGATGTACGTACTGCAGTATACCTGCAAGTGCACCTTTTAGCGCATCATAATATGGAAAAAACGACAGTATTCCATATTTTGTGGAGCAGATTATTTCTGGTCAATATAATCTTGAGTTTCTTTCAGCGGAATGGCTGCAATCCGAAGCAGGAGAACTGACCGAAGACGAAGTGGTAGCGGACGTCGACGAATTCGAGGGAAGGACCCTTGAGGAGAGGCTCATAGCCCTTCGCGGTGTTCTCTGCGTTCTGGAAAACAATGTGAACGAGAACTACGAAAAATTCAAGGTGCTACGATGAATGACTTCTTCGCTGTCTAATTGAAACTTTCCATTGAAATCTAAATATTGAAAGTTATAGAATATTATATTTTTTATTGTTGTAGGGGGTTAGACATCGAACAAGCTCTAGCTGTCATATACACTTATTATATTATTTATTTAACTTCTTTCTTCTGGGACACATTCTGTAGGGCAGTTGTTTTTTAGCTATGAACTTCATTGATGTCTCGGGTAACTGTCTTTATAAAATCTTTCCTTTTCAGAAGAGCTCAAGCCACTTCAAACGTCGGCTAGCCGTACTGGAGCGTTATTGTCGAGAAATGATAAACTGAACGATGGAGTTCGTCCTTATATTAAGGAATAAGAAAAGAATTCTATAGGCTCTTCAGAGTTGCTCAAGAAAAATCGTGGTAATAAATTTTAGCAGATATTTGATCATTTTCTTGCTAATGTTCCATTCCTTTCCAAAAACGCGGTGTGTCTGCATTCGTTGCCAGCGATTCTAAATTATGATGACCAGCCATTCCGATCAGCAATTTGTGCTAGGCATAAGAGCTGTGTTCACAGTTACTTAAAGGAATCTTGCGCGGAAAAATCGATGATTCTAGTATTCCACGATAATAGTGAAAAGAACTGAAGTATTGCTTTCGTTTTGATTAGAAATTCGAAAACTCGAAAAGGCTGCTACGCGTTCGAATTGCCCACGGACGTCTTTCACGAATGCTGGCGACGGGGATGCTCAAACTTGGTTCTTGGAGTGCATTCACTAGAAGCTCTTTCTGGCCTTCTGCTTCGTTGCATTCACATCTTACACTTCTACTCCATCCTATTCCATCGATCGATTTGTCTCCACTCTCCGAAATCGCGCGCGCGATTCTCTCATTGCGTCGCCTGGTACGTAGCCGGCCAAACGCCGTCTTCTTTCCATGCCTCGCCTGGCTCTGCCTCCTGGTCCTTCGATGGTCCATAACGTGTAGTTTTTGTACGTTTGTTTCTCTTCAGAAACCGAATCTTCATGCGTGAAACTTTGTGTGCTATTTCCAGTGATCACAACTGACATATTCATGTTAGGAAAGAGTGCAAGAATTTTCCGCGCAAGATTCCTTTCCATATAGCATATGAAGTTTGAAACGAGGAAGGAACTACAGGGTGCGCCAAAATTACGGCGACAGCGATTTCGAGTTGCCTAGAATGAACATGCCACAATTCCAGGAAGCCAAAAATGCAGTAACGTTCACTGTTCAATAATGAATCGTAAACATCTGCCAAATCTCAGAAATTCCTTCGTTGGCACTTATACGGGCCTTGAGAAGCAGTGAGGAACCATCGACGGTGGCACGCAAGATGGTCCGTGGAACCCGTCCTGCGTATTGTAAAGCAATTCTTCAAGAATAATCCCCAAAAATGTGAAGTTCCATGCAAGTTTCAGCTTGCATGGCTTTAGCAAGTATTCACAGTTTACCCATTTATATTGAAAGTGAAATGCTAACCTACTCGTTGAAAGTGATGAATTCGACAAAATTGGCTCTGCACCAGTTCTGCACCACCCTTGCCTTATGGAAATCCCTTCCTTATGAAAGATCCAACAATGTTTTCCGAATCCTAAGGATGGCAATTTGCTTAGGAATTCTCAAGTAATCTCTTTAATGTCCATCTCTCGTGACATTCGGCGGAACCAGTGCGCGAAGTGCCAGCAAATTCTGTTGCGCACCATGCTGACATTGCTCGTGGCCGTCTTGGAAGCAGGGTCGGTCCTATCGTTGCTACTTTTCGAAAAATTTTTACGACCCCCCTCCCCAAAGGTGGATTTGGTACGACCCCCTTCTCGACCCTCGACCACCATATTCCTCGCTATGCGAGGAGTCTTGAAAAGGATGGGAGCCTTTTTCAAGACTCCTCGCTATAGTATTTCATTCTGGTATCACTCGACCCACAAAACTCCGCCCACTTTTTCCTCCAAATGAGCCGTCGAGCGGGGGGGGGTATAGACGTAAGCAAACCAGCCCTTTTGGCACATCGGCTGGGACCGTATGCTGAATGTTGGGGAGGGGATGGGGTCCCCAACGGTCGACGGTTTACTTCAACTCGGTTGGTACGATAGGAGAGTACTGACGCAAGTGGTGCAGCTGGTCCAGTAGCTTCGCCAGAAGGACCGGTCTGCTCACCCTTGGACTAAGCCTAGGAGAGGGGACGGACCCGTCCTCTCTTTAAGGCTTAGTTCTAAGGTAAGCGCCAAATTGTGGCGGTTCTAAGGACCGCGTTGAAGTTGTCCGTCCACCGTCGGGGACACCATCCCCTCCCCAACATTCAGCATACGGTCCCAGCCGAGTGCCAAAAGGGCTGGTTTGCTTACGTCGGGTATAAGTCCAACTCTGAACCGTAAAAATACCTATTCCCTAAATTTCCACCAATTTACCCCCTCCTACCTTTAATCCCACGCTTCATTTTCTAGGGGGTATATACGCGCGCTGAAACGGCAAATTTTCTCCCGCGCCACTCCTCCCTCACCTCATGCAACTTCTCACAATCGAAGCAAGTACGACCCCCCCCCTCTACAACCTCATCAAAATATACGACCCCCCTCTACAAACTCATCAAAATGTACGACCCCCCTCTAAAACTCATCAAAGTACGACCCCCCGTTGCTACTTGTAGCAACGTAGGACCGACCCTGTCTTGGAGCACGGACCTTCCCATCCAGAATGAGTGCATTCGGTTCCTTACTCCTTCGGAGCGTTTAGTGGATCCATGATTGGTACCCAGGATAAAAACCAAAACGCTGATAATTCTTGCGTGCCGGAAACTCTCAAAGTTGAAGTTCAGTGATCTAGAAATGGCGGCAGAATCACTCAGCCATCGTAACAATCATACATATTGGTGGTAAAATTAGATAATTATGAACAGGTCAACACAACAAAACCAAAATGAGCGCAGCAGTGAACAGCATCTTTGAATAGCGGTTCAAATTGTATGCGCATCCGTTGTCGCCGTAATTTTGGCGCACTCTGTAAACCGTGGCTGTGATTAAGATAGGTTCTGAAGACGATTCAGAGGGCCTGCGGATGCTCACTGGCGCACCAGTGGCAAAAAAGCAGAGAAATCCGTCAAGGAAACGCAAAACGGGACCCCTTTTTGGCGGTAACTTTTCGCTTATGGGCGGGCATACGGGCTTAAACAGAGAGCACATGAGACGGATTACGGGCAACACTTTCTGGTGGCTACATGTGGATCATGCCTTATACAGTTGCTCCTGGGTGCCGCTGTTGGCAATACAGCTCGTCCAAATCACCAAAAAAACTAGTGGGCGGAGCGCTTTAAAAGGCGGAGCGCTTTCCAAGTACTGCTCAGCAACCAGCGCACCTTCGTTGTGAAAGTGCCACACCTCGCTTCCTTGACAGCCAAGTAACCGTTCTAAAGGATTTCTTGGCAAACTCTGCCGATGAGATGAGAAAAAGTCTTGCTTGCTCTACCACTTATTGTTGATGGCCTTTGGAAATCCTACCTCCTGTCTGCACTCCTTCCTTGGAAGGCTTACGTTGGTCTATAAAGTGCACATATGAAGCTTTTTCGTGTGGGTGCAAGGCTCATAGGTACAACAATACGAATTCAAATACAACAGCCGAACCACAAAACTCATTTGATTATAGTTTGACACCTTTTTAAAATTTGCAGAATACACAATTTTTCTTCGAATTCTGAGAACATTTCCCTCTTCCTGTTTCTCTTCTTGTTGCTTTAGAAAGTACAATGTGAGCATTACCAAATAAGATCCTTTCCCTAACCGTAAGAATAAAAAGCCGACGTGACCCTCCCTCAAGACCGCAAGTTTAGAGAATTATTCAGAAACCAAGTTGAGTTGCAAAATGTTCACGGCCATCTAATGGTAAGAAATATACGGATCAGTTGAAAATGTCGGCGATTAATGAAAAATTGAATTGAAAAATGACTATGCTACTCAAAAATGTCAAAACTTTAATTTGAGGTCCAGGTCCACCTTTGAGTTGAAATAGTATGTATATTCCCTTTCTTTTTGAATAGCTAAATAATTGCAACGTCACACAATTTCACTACATAAATCTTAGGATTACCTTCTGTTCCGTGATGTTAACGATGTTTTGATGCATCTCTGGTCAACATGTTTTCAGGGCAGCATTGTAACACGTCCAGCTTCGCGGCGGCTGATAATCGCTGTTTTCATTCATTAGCTCGAAAACATTTCGTTCTGCCCTTCACGTAGCGCTAATTTCTTCCCGAGCTTCTTTATCGTCATGTATTTTTGAGGTTCGATACTCCAGAAAAATTTCAGTCGGTGTGCCCAAGCGTCACTCGGAGGCAACATTATTGTAAAGAGAGGTCGCTTTAAGTTTCGCTAAGGTTCTTGTATCAGATATTTAAACTGATAAATTGAATATTTCAACTGATTAATTGAATTTATTCAAGGAAGCCTTAGAAAAGTATCTCACATCCTACCATTGTTTGTTATGTTTTATTGTTTTCTTCTCAGT